CTATTCTTTCCTCAACGGGTCCTCCTGGTGAAGGTAAAGTGAGCCTACCATGTCACAGAGGACCAACAATTTAAAATGTTACCCTTGGGGTTAACAATGATGCAGTCTAATTCCAAATACTGCTAGTGGGACGCCAAAGGGAAGAAGCTGCAGATCGTACACAAGCATATTTATGTGCTTCTCTTCCTTCACACTTTTCGATTCAAAGCTTGGATAAATTTGAGGAATCAAAATTCAGGTATCATTTAAGTAAAAAGTAATTATCCCAAAAATTCATTTCTTTCTTGAGCGTGCAACCAATGAAAAGAAGAAAACAGATGAACTGGGCAATTGCAATTCATTTGCATAATTAATTAATTTGCCTGCCAGTTTTGGTGTCTTGGCTTTTCTTCCAGTGTGTGTATGTGTGTTTGGGATGGAGAGAGGGGGCTGGGGAGGAGGAGAGAGAGAAAGAGGGCACGACTATGTTACAGATCATCCCTCCCTCCATGTAACTGATATAGGATTAAAACAAGAATCAATGCTGCAACCATAGAACTGTGGTTTTACTTGTTTCTCAATTTAACATCTTAGCTTTTCCTTCCGCCAGAAACAACCATATTTGAGAAACTTTTAAGTGGTACTGACACAGTCATAGAGTTGAGCAAACGTTATTTTAACTCAGTTAAGTAGGTCACTTTTTATCTCCTTTCTTCAGCTCACTATGAAAACAATCTCTCTTTCTCTCTCTCTTTTTTTTTAGTGTTTAAGACATCTATATTTGGTTATTACTATATAACTACAGATATGTGTGTCTGAATATAAAAATTATTTGTGTCTATCAGTCACAACATTAGAAGGTGTGAATGCCACTTAAAGTACCCTAACCTTCTAAGACTGAGAATCTTTCAAAGTTTTTGAAAGTAGAGCTCGTGTTTTGGGACACAGGCCAAAGACCTGTCAATTGGTAAAAACAAATACTCAATCAAATGCTGAAAGAAGCTGAGAAAATAGTGATAGAGTCTGTTTACTAAAAACAATTATAATGGAGGTGCATGTATCCACTATAAATTATTATTAGTTACGTACAAGTAAGGATACTGGTACAACTATGCACCACGCTCTGTTGCCTATTTATTCCAGGAGGCTTCCCTGTCATCCAGCAGTTAATGCAGAACAGATTCAGTTGTAGAACTTAAAGCAATAACATATGAAGCTAACACTAGTAACTATCTTAGAGGAGTTTTATGACAATTAGATGCATTTATATGGTTAATGTGCTTAGAAAAATATGTTTTAAAGTGAGTATTATATAAATCTAGGTGTTATAAGGGTAATAATTTAAACTTTCCTCTTCTGCTTGAAGTATCTTACAAGATAGACTGTTAGGAAATTACTGGGAACAATGAAGTAATGCCTGCAATTGACAAACCAAAGCAAAAGGAACAGTGTGTAGTATAGGGAAGTTGAGTCAGGAGGGAACTGAAGAGATGCCATCTGTGGAGTCCAGCTATCAGAAGATGACCCTAGCAGATGAATCGAAGTCATTTCTTAAAACTTCAAAATGAAAGCAACTTGAATCAGGAAGAGTGTAAGAAGTACAATACTATCTACAAATTAGGGACACTTGAACCTCTTGAAATTGGTTGACAATATTTACTTTCGAAGACCTCTAAATCTGATTTTTATTTCTGTGTGGTCCAACATGCACATGGAATTGTTATCATTTTTGATAATAGTTGTGAGATAAGAATACCTTTTATAATTTTACTTTGACTCTCATAAGTATAATCTTATGAGAAATTTTAATGTTGCTTTACTTAAACTGATTTTAAGGTGTGTTTGCCAACTTGCCTGAACACAGAGGAAGTCGTTTATTCTTTAGGTAACAAAAAGCTGACTTGAGAATTTCTTGAGAACAACCCAAAGTGACCAGGTAAAAGTTCGTAACTATTGCCATGTTCTTTATCAACAAAGAAGTGTAATATCAAGTAAGGTTAGCTATATCTTAGCTCAATGCACATTTTTAGATTGAAATAATGAAGTTATAATTTTATTTGTTTGCTCTGATCACTTGGTAAATCCTTCTATTACTTGAAGTCAACATTCATTTACTTTTTTGAAGTTAAAATGAAGACTAGTACATTGGCAAAATGACATGTTCTTTTTTCGTTGAAAATGCAAAATATTATATTTTTTTGTATATCTTCTTTCAAAGCAGTCACTGGAGAAACATAGTAAATATTAAATTGTGAGATCCACAAAGACTTCCGTACATATCTAAAGAACTGAGAAAAAAATACTTTGACAAGTTTTCAATTCAGTAAATGTCAGTAGCACTTACTATATGCCATGAGAGCTAGGGGAGGAGCTCAGGCTGTCAGCAAATAAGGACTTGAAACTAAAGCAATACTACTGCTATTCTTACCCTAAGATCAATGTACTAACACAAATAGAGAAGAAACAGGGCAAGGAAGGTGTGGGTAGGGACGAGTGGAGAAGAATCTCCAACAGAACATGTCTCTAAACGAGCCTTGGAAAAGAACTAGATGTTTTACAAATAAAGAAAAACGCAATTAGAGAGACTGTTGGAGTGAAAAGAAGTGAAAGAGAGTCTAACTTTTCTGTTTGCTTGTGGTCTGGTACTTTCAAAACGCGGTAACTGAGGTGGTGCTGAGGATGGGGGATGGGTAGAGAAGATTTACTTAACATGAAATAAAGTTGGGGAAATGGCTGAGACAAATTTGTGCAGGCACACATTTCTTTGGTGAAATTATGCATTAATTAAAGGAAGATACTGCTGGCAATGAATGGAATTAGACCTTGGATGGAAAACATATATAGATGTTGATTTATAAAGCTATATATCTGAAACCTCGATAATATCATAAACCAGTTTTACTTTAATGGAAAATATGTTTAAAGTAATCCGTCAACTTACATGAAAATGTCAATGGTATTTCATTTATAAAAAATAAAAATGTTTCTGGGTTTATTATAAATGTTTTACTTTGTCTCTTTCTTAAGATTGTAAGTGATAAGATCTCCTTAGTTTCAGAAATGAAAGCCTACATACAATCACCTACATCTGAGAAATTATACTGGTTTGGAAGAGAGGACCTGGAGCAGACAGATACTTCTAGAGAGGCCATATGGCGCCTGAAATCCTGGTTCCCTCTCTATCTCCCCTGAGGTACATTCCAACAACCATCTAGACCCACTACTCAGGAGGCTGAGAGGATGAAATGAGGTGATGCCTGAAGAGTGGTTGTACATAATCAACAGTTGTCAATACTAAGTGCTCTGATTACTTAGTAATCTTCTCTAATTTAAATAGATATATTTAAATGAGACTTGACTGTTGGCTTCCTCTTACCACGTGAGCTCAGAGAAAAACTTGCAGTTAAAGTTAAAACATTGAAATTATTTTCCAAATTACAGATTTTCTGAAAGCATAAATGATATAGGAGACAACATTTTAAATGGACAAAGGAGAGCATCCCCAAAGCCAATGAAATGCTCCCCTTAACGTCTTATACCACAACAGTGCTTGTTGGGAGGAACCCAGAAGATTCTTCCCCTGATGTTACCTGGGGGTGGGTGAGCTAGAATGAAGAGAAATAGATAGTTTACAACTCTTCGGGTTGACATTTGACAATCTAAACTGGATTTCAATCAAGAGACTTTTTTTTCTACTTTGAATTAACCTTTTCATGTTCTTTTTCTTTTCTCTTGATATAAGGAAAATGTATTTTCCTATGCATCTGAATTTGTTTTTATTGAATGTTTTTACTTAAAATAAGACAGAGCATATTTCTAATTTGTCCTTTTCTGAACTTTAAATCTCCCAGTTCTACATTTTTCCTAATTTAAAATTATTCAGGCAACATTTTACAACTTCTAGATACTTACAGTTCAGGTAAACAGTTAATTATGTTCAAATTTGCCTCTGCACAATTCTTTAAAAATTTTATTTGACAGAAACTAATGATGATGTACATAAATTTAAAATCAAAGCATGTATGGATAATACCTTTTATTTAATAATTTTTTTTAAAAAGCTGTCCTGAAGTAGTTCCAGAAAATAAGTTGTTCTTTGATTAAGAAAAAATGGGCTTTGATAAATATGTCACTAATGATGATAATTCATTTTTTTTTATGGTTGTAATTGTCAGTGGTTCTTAATATTGCTGGATGATGGTAAGTAAATAAAGGTTGATACTACAAGATCCAAAGTCTACATTTCAACAAAGTTTCTGCAATAAATGCCCCACATCAACTTTAAAAGAATTTCTATTGCAGACAGAAACCATTCATCCAGAACTTAATGGTCCTTTGTATGGTCATGAGCACAACTGAGAGTTCAGACAATTCTCCAAGAACAGTACAATGAACCAACACAAACTGCTTTTATTTTTAGAGCACAAGTGGAGAAAAGGCACCCTCTGATTCCACGTGGTTATTAAGCACACCCACTAAAGACTGTTGGCACCAAAATCACTTAAATAACTAGTATCACTATCAGTAACATAAGACCTGAGTTGTTAATATATTCACTAAACTACTGTAAAAAATTTTTTTTTAGAAAAACAGAACCACAGGAGCTAAAATTAAACTACTCCCATTAGGCCAATGAACAGAACGGTCTAAATGATCAATATATACTTTCCTGAACATTTGAAAGTAGATAAAATCAAAGTAAATAGCTTCCCTGAAATAGTATGACAGAAATAAATCAGAACAAAGTCTTTTTTTTTTTTTTTTAAGGAAAAACAAGCCTAGCTTTGGGGTGGGATGAGAGCTGTGGATAACTAGAGAAGGATACACCCAGAGAGCCAAGGGTCCCTCTAGTCACCACCAAGGCAGTTGCAGATTTGCTGGGCTCAGCGGTGGCAGAGCTCACATAGGGTTCTCATGACAGGTGCTCAGGTCTCTGTCTTCTGAAGGCAAATAAACAGTCCATACAAACTGACCTGCCTAACCAGCAAAGTTAAGCCTCAAATAACAAAAAAGACATTTACCTTGGAAGAAAGCGTTCTCAGCGGTACTGGTACTGGCGTGTGACCGGAAACCCCCTTCTTTCTGATCTGCAGAACTACTCTGTTACCCACGGGTGTGCGGTCACAAGGCAGGAAGTATCTTAATGGCAAATCACCAGCCAGGAAAGGAATACGATTTTTTTTTTTTTGTCTTTATAAGGGCATTTTACTTCTCCTTCATTCATGAGCTCTCCCTGACAACACCTGACAAATTGAGAAATGTAGCACTTCCTCCTTTTGGGTGTGCATTTTTCTCTCTTGTTTTGGCCTTTACCTTAGGTTCTGGGCTACTTGAACCTGTCTGATTTCAGATAACAAGGTGCATTCAGTCTGCAAGCATGACTGACTCCTTTCTCTGAACCCAGTTGCAAATGAAAATCCAAGGTGCCTTGACAATTCCAGAAAAGATAAACAAATTCTTCATTTTTAGAGAAAGAACAGAGGAAAAGATGGCAGACACCTGAAAGCCCCAACTCCACTGATCCCAAACCTCTCTAAAGAGTCCCCTAACAATGATCTTATTGATCCAGCAAAACAAAATGATCTCTTAAGGGAAACTGCCCAAAAAGGAAGGTCACTATATTATTTACTCACTCTTTTATTTATAGAACACCTATGTGCTAGGGATCTCTTTAACCCAATTAAAGATTTCAATTATTTAGACATTTCCTATATAGAGTACCAGTGGATCACACTGTTGCAGTTAAGTGGAAGACTTACTTCCTTCATACAGTGAAGATTTAATTTTTGAATACACAGTTTATGAAATTAGCAAGAAAAAACAAATGTTCAATCCTAAGCTCAAAGTTCAGCTGCCTGTTATGAAGGCAATTCTCGTCTTCACAGGTAAGCACTGATGGTGTAACAGTGGCTATGAAGGTTGTGTTTCTGAGGTGTGTTCCTGCTTCAGTCCTCAAATGTTGAAGCACATTGTTCTGGCTTATCTACTCCATTTACCAGTGGCATGCATCTGCTTGATTAGAAGCCCATAAAGGATATCTTAGGGAAGTGGGCAGAGGAATGGGAAGCGATGGTGAAGACAGTTCATTTGAGAAGTGGCTCACCTAAAATAAAAAATAGCTATCAGTTCTCTTGATTCCTTAGTGAAGTTTGAGTGAGTAATTGGGCCCCATTTTCTCTATTGCATAAACGACGTCCAAGGTTACAAAGATCTTCCAGAAGCACTTCAGTGCAAACCTATGGAGGAAGCCAGTCCAGTGTCTTCACTTTGCTGCCATCTTGTTGGACTCTTGTTCTCATTAATTTTAAAATAAAAATTTAAATATAAAGATGTATATAAAAAAATTAAAAAGTTTTTAGTTTTAGAAGTAAAATATTAGCTCAAAGCTTCTAATAAAATACCACTCTCCTGACACACTCCTTCTCTACCTCTGATTCTCATTTCCCAGAAACAATTATTTTATTTTATTTTTTAAAGATTTATTTATTTGTTCATACAGAAACTGGGGTACAGACCAGAGGTGCAGGGACAGTGAGAGGATTCACCAGAGACAGAGTGAGGAGCAGAACAGGCAGATCAATGAAGTGCACTGCTGAAGGGAGCAATGGGCAGGCCAGGAAAGGTCTGCCACGCCACATGGATCACCTCCGCTGGGGCAGGCGGGGATCGAACTCATGCTGAAGTGACTTTAGCTTCTTAGTGCTGTGCTTTAACCTGCTGTGCTACCAGGGAGGGCCCAGAAACAAATATTGTAGTTATTTCTTCTCCCTCTTCATATTTCTAGAATCTTATATTATGTCTTGATTGTTAAGGTTCAGGTTTTTTTTACTCTTAATTTTACTTGGGAAATGAACATTTTACCCTCTTTTTCCAACATGCTAAGTCAGCTCCGTACCATTCTCTAATAGGTCATAACATTTTTTAGTTAAATCAACACTGTGTAAATATTCATAGCTGAGTTATGTAGAGAAGTATATTGATATTTCCTTTCTGTATCTTCTTCTTTTTTTTTTTTTTTCATTTGCGAGGTTTCTACGTATCTATTACTAATTTTGTACCAATTTTCCCGTCAGAGGTACAGTATCATTTTAAGTGTCATGAAAAAACTGTTTCTCATTTTGCCTTCTAGAATATGTCATCCTCCTGACTAAGTTATGCTGCCCAGTCGTGAGCTAAAGACATCACTCAGTCTTGAGTGTCCTTGCCTTTATGCAATCTTTGACCCTGTTAAGTCATCCTTTCTTTTTTTCAAACTTACTTCTTTATTAACAATTACATATATTTAATTGAAAAATGAATAATTCTATTTTGAAATACAATTATCTCAAATATCTGAAACTAAACTGATTAATCCTCTGACAAATAAACTATGCACTACTCCAGCCCTAACTTTCTTAATTCAGCGAAGAGTACATCACTGACTCAGGACAGTCTGGGATATTCCTTGACTTCTACTCTTTTCTCAAATTCCCTACATGGTCAAAGTTACATCTATTTTTCCCATGTCTTTCCCAATATTGTATTTTATTTGCCTCTTTCACCTTTTTAAACCCTTATTATTCCCAGAACCTCAGACTTCAGGGAAGTCTGAGGCCCTATTTCCCACTTCACCACTCTTCAATCCAGCCTACATATCACCACCATGTTAACTTTTCATGAAGCTTTATCTTCCCCCCATCACTGTCTTGTACACCAATAATCTGAGATTATCCATCACTCACAGGATAATGTCCAAACTTTCTCTCAATCCATAGGTTGCATACTGGCAGCATAAACTGATGCAACTGAGTAGAACTGTTAATGACCTCTTACACACCCAGCGTAGTCCTCATCCTGCCTATCAGTCTCCTGAGTGCTCCCTTCCTGCCTGCTCTCTACACTTCCCATTGCCATAAGAATTAATCATTCTCCTAAAACCAAACACAACACCTCCAACTGAATTCCTGGGCCCCAGAGCTTTCATTAAAAAATGATTAAGAATTTTTAGACATTGACAAAAGAGCATTAAAGCTAAGTCTGGAGCTCTTCAGAGCACAGAGGTCCTGTGTGGCTTATGTTACATGTCTATGAAATTGACCCTGACCAAGAATTTTTCCTTGACCGCCCATCCATTCTTTCCTTCTATTTCTCAAATCTGTACTACTGAATATAAGCCATTGCTAGTATTTATTATATGCTATCTTTCTTTTCATTTTATCTTCATGAATTTATATCTATGTCTGGATTCATTCATCAAGCTCTTACTAGGAATTGCGATGTGTCAGGGCCTTAGAGAACCAAAGTAAAAGGCTCATTCACTCACAATTTGGAGGTTATGAAACATGCCAGCAATTATAATACTGAGGTAGGGACAGAGAATACCAAAAATATAGATGTGGTGGTGGTGGGTGGGGTAGGTAGGAAGGCATCTTGGGAGAATGTGTGGCTGAGTCTCCAAAAGTACATAGAAACTGACATGGCACAGGAAGGGAAAGATGAGGAACTGGCATCTATTTACACTGTGGGGACATTATGATGCAAACCTCCCACTGAAATGCCAGTATCTGGAGTACAGGAATTGTACTCTCTCCTAGAACACAATTTGTTGCTTATAGTACAAATTTAATAAATATTTGATTAGCTGAGAAGGTAAATTGATTCTATAAATAATATGACATTTAAAAGTTAAACCAAAGAACAAAAGTAATTAGGTATTTTAATATATACATCTAAAATTCATTATCTACCCATGCTAGCACTTCCAGAGAATTTATACAACCAGCTGCATATAAAGACTGATATTACATCTAGTTAATGGTAAGTTTACTATCACTTTCTGATAACAGTGCAATGAAAGCTAATTATAGCTGCTATCATCAGGTAAATGAAGATAAAAGGAAGAGGGGTATTTATAACTATAAATTTCCTTTTCATAAAATGTCAGTACATAAAAATGTTATTTTTGCAATATTTCTAAATATAAAAATGTTGACTTCAGTATACTCTATAGGCTCTGACCATTTCATTTTAGTAGAGAATTTGTGTAGCTTGTAACAACTCCCCAGATATTCACTGACTTTTTATAACCCATTTACACTAACAGTCATTAAAACAGATTGAAGTGAATTTATACTAATTATCTTCACTATCCCTTGCTGAAAATACAAATCTTACTCAACTTTCGTAAACAGATCTACTGCTGTTGCTGCTGAGATCATATTTAAGGTGCTCTCAAACACCAAAAATTCAAATATAAGGACAAGACTTTAAAATAAGTAATAAGGCAAGAAGAGAAAATAATAAATAAAGGTGTGAAATACATACTAAGATGGAAAGGCATGAGTTTTTTAACAATATGACAATATGATATTTAAAAGTTAAATAGCAATATGAAAAATAAAAATGATAGAAAAAATATTTGAGAAGCATGGTACATGGAAAACCAAAAGGACTGAAACTGGAAAGCTTAGAACAAAACCCTTAATTCTAGCAGCTGTACTAGATCTTGTGCAAGGCATTTTTCCATTCCTCAACTGAATTTATATGTAAATTGGGGAAAATAGCTCTATATCACAGGGTTATTTTGAGCAATAAATGAGATAATATATGCAAATATACCTAACATAGTGGTCTGAGTTAGTGCCAAATTCTGGTTGAATATGTAATTTGTGATTCATGTTATTATATTACACATTAAGTATTTCATTATGGCAATTCAAATTCAATCACTCAATCTCACCTTATTAAGATTTGACTGGAATTTATTTTGCATCTACTAGTGCCCTAGACTGGATACTTTACCATATGACATTTAATGCTATTAGAAAACACATAATAATAGGTGGCATATACTCTTTTTAAGATAAAAATGTTCTGTTCTTAACTGTTTATCTGCAGCTGCAATGTGAAAACATTTCTGGTCAAGTTCTCCATTCTTTAAATAGAGAAATGAATCAGTTGCAAATTCTCTGCATACTAGACCAAAGGACAGTCAGCATAACTTAAATGAATTCATATGACACCATTTCCTTATTTCAATCACTCATTTGTTAAGCAAGCCTTCACTGTGTAAGCGCCAAGGAAGACATAAACAGGTAGACTTACATGGTAAACAACAAAATGGGTGATTTTAGAGTAGTCTGGTGGGGGGAGGAATGAAATGGAATGAGAGGTGAGTGACTGGAACTTAAAAG